GAAGGATAATGTGTAGATAATCAGGCCCTCATGCCAGAGACAGTCGGCGGCCTTATTTATTACCCTTGTGGCTGAATGCACAAGTTGACTGCTTTCATAGCATGGTATAAACTGCTTTTATCATGGTTATCTTGAGATGATAACCATGATAAAAGCAGTTTATACCATGCTATGAAAGCAGTCAACTTGTGCATTCAGCCACAAGACGCACCCACCTAAAATGGTGGGTGCGTCTGTGGTTTCAAAACCTAAGCTGCTTCTCAGCGAAGATAATTTTGCACTCAGTATAGTTTACCTTGAGTGGGTTCCAGGAATTCTTCTACTCCCGGAACTTGTGATAACTTGGTCCAACAGGATGTTGCTTGGAACGACCCGCAGGCCCTCATATCCACTACAACCCGGTTAGTCTGGGAATTCTTTCAGAAACGTTTCTAATTGTTTCTTCAAGAAGTCCACTGTTGTAGCCGAGTTGATTACACATGATAAACATCTGTATTTATTTTATCATTGTATTATAATTGGATAGTTGTTTGTGTAGTTGCAATAGCTTTAGACTTACAGCTATTGAAGCGTTTGTTTTACCGTGCAGGGTGCGAGGCGCGGGTAATTGGGAAGGGTGAGGGCCGGGTCTACCATTAAGCCAGGTAGGCAGTGGCCTTCACCGCAGACCTTGGGGCACACTGCTGACCTTTGAGGGTCACACTTTTATACCAATTAGTTGTTTAGTGAAAAAAGTAAAGTAAAAGAACAGCTTAGTAAAATAACTAAAATTCGACTTTGAATTTTTAATTAAGACATACATTATGTGATAAAAGAAAACATGTAAATCTATTTTTGAAAATAGAAATTGGCAAATTTGTTTGCAATTAGGGGCAAAATAGTGTGGTACCGGCGTTGTTTTAGGAGGCTGTCACGGAGCTTCCAGAGGCCTTGGCTTCGTATTTACACAAATAATCTCAGAGTCCAGCAGAAGACTGCAATTTTTTCGCACTTCTTCGTGAATAGACTTGAGTGTGACTTTATGATCGTGAGACGTTTTCAGTACCAGGAAATACCACCTCCTACCTTGCTGCAGCAGTTCATGTTATAGGTGATGGTCGCAATCTTGCTTTAGTTCATTCAAAGCAAGATTGAACTTGTTTTGAACGCAAGAATGAACAATTCAATTCATTTTGAACTTCAAAAATCTTCAATTTTGTCAATAACAATTTAAGGGTGAGAATTTAAAGAGCGAAGTTCAAGGACAAACCATTACTATAAATAAAAATAATATTAATCATCGTAATAGTTTTATATTATTACGATAAGCTTTTGATAAACAGTTTGACATCTATGGTCTGAATCTTGTCTTTTTTCTTCTTTGCTGCAATATATCAAAATCGTCCCCTTCTACTTCAAGTCCTTCAAGAGGCGCACAAATTCACTGAGTACATATATACAAATCACAAAACAAGAATCCCATTTAACATTGCAGGTTAATATAGGAAACACAGCATATAAGTGTTACACTCTTGGGGCAAAATTATCAAGGAGATTATCAGAGATACTGCATACCAGATAAATGACGTGTAAACAGATCAGATATAGTTTCCTACCTACGACACTATATCCTTAATTAATAATTAATTATATAGTATCGTAGATACATTATAAATGAAGAACAGGGTTGTGGATAGTCCAGTAAAGAATACGAAGACGAAATGGTAGTCATCATATCATGTAGACGAAATTACGAAGATGAATGAAGAGTGGAAGGACAGAAAGTTAAAACTGGAATATAAAATAAACAAATTTGAAAGAAACATGTTTGGGGAAGACTTGACTAATATAACCTATGGAACAAGACTATCAGCCACAACCTTCCGTTTTCAACAGAAACAATCTTAAACCATTAAGAGAATTAAAAGTTTTACATACTCAAGAGAGATAAACTTTAAGTGTTATATTATCTATGGAAACATACTTAAAGTGTTATATTATGAAGGATTCCTACTTAGTGTTATATTCTCTAGGAAACATACTTAAAGTTCTCTAGGGAAGCATTCTCTAAGGGAAGCATTCTCTAAGGGAAACAAACTGTTATATTATCAAAGGAATCAGTCTAAGAGTGTTTCATGCTCTTGGAAAATGGTGTTCCATTCTCTAGGCTAGGGAAATAGTGTACCATTCTCTAGGCTAGGGCAATAGTGTTCCATTCTCTAGGCTAGGGAAATAGTGTACCATTCTCTAGGCTAGGGAAATAGTGTTCCATTATCTAGGCTAGGGAAATAGTGTTCCATTATCTAGGCTAGGGGAAATAGTGTATCATTATCTAGGCTAGGGAAATAGTGTTCCATTATCTAGGCTAGGGAAATAGTGCACCATTCTCTAGGCTAGGGCAATAGTGTTTCATTCTCTAGGCTAGGGAAATAGTGTACCATTCTCTAGGCTAGGGAAATAGTGTACCATTCTCTAGGCTAGGGAAATAGTGTGCCATTCTCTAGGCTAGGGAAATAGTGTACCATTCTCTAGGCTAGGGCAATAGTGTACCATTGTGTAGAGAATCATACTGAGAATGCTCCAGTGTCTTGGGATGAACCTTGTGACCCTGCCCACTACGATCCCACTTTTATCGTACTGTTGTTTGGTTGAGATTTTCGTACCTAACGCAAAGGTCAGATGAAGTTTGTTTTTATACGGCGCTATTGACATCGTTGTTAAAGGGAGAATTAGCCAATCTAAATCAGAATGTTTATTATCATATTTTGGAAAATCACACTTCTTCACTTTTACAAGTAGGCCTACGCATGTAACTAAACCTAGTATCATGGTTTTCGAAAATAATTTAGCAAAGTTCGGCAGACGTATCCAGGTGAATGTCGTATCCATGCAACCAACTTTTGCTGAGGAGAGATGTAGCGAAGCTTTGAAGCCACACTGGGAAGTGTGTGTGAAGCAAAGTCGGCTTCACATTCATGCCTCCCTCCACAGAAAACGTGTGCACCGGATGGGACACTGCAATGTTCCTATCGACCTCTACTATTTGGCTGACGCTATTACGAAAGTCGTCATGCTTTCCCCGTTAACTTTTCTTTATACAACTTGGAGGACTTTAATCAGTCGCACGGTAACACCTGTATAGAATTGTCATTCAGTTTTCCAGGTCTTGCTTGTCGATGATTCCGAGGATCAACGTCCCCTCGGTCCGGTCTCTGACCAGGCCTCCAACTCAACACGGCTGTTTGACACATATCTATATTTCAGTAGCACACGTAGCCATTTCCAGTTCTGGAAGAAATGGCTTCTAGATCCAAACACATATCTCTTCACCTTACCATGTCGATCTGGTAGAGTTCTTCATGAGACACTCTCCAGACACCAAACAGAACGCCTTGAAAGAAACTAACATCGTCTATGCCTTCACATGCCCACTTGGGTACTGTCAGCCCCAACGATCTCAGTATATAGGCAAGACACCAACGTCTCTTTCTAGGCAATTAACACTGCACAAACAACTGGTTTCCATCAAGGAGCAAAAAATATAATCTCCTCACACAACCAGTCCATCACCAGAGAAATCTTAACAAGCAACACAGAAATTATCGATAGATACAGCGACAGCAGGAGACTCGACATCTGCGAGGCCCTACACATCCATCAAAAAGTCAACGCCAGCAATCAACAGCCAATTAACACGTAATTACATTCTACCCACTTAAAGACCCCAAACCAACACAGAAGCAAGAAAAGAAAATACGCAATAATTCGTGTTCTGACTATGTAAAATTATCTTTACCCATTGATTACCCATTGGTTTGTGTTCTATCACCTCACCCAAAAACAAATATAAACATGAAGCGGAGTACATAAAAATTTGTCTTTGAAAATGTGAGAAGTCTCTTGCGAAATACTTCTAAGCGTCAAACCATAAATAAAAATGTGAACATGAATTCACAAATACCATAGTTGAGATAAGGATAGATGGGAGAGTAATAGAGTGTCAACAGGCCAGGGCGAGGTACAAAATATCTGATCTTAGAAAGTATGCCATCAGTTTTAGAAACTTTTTTTTTGCTATATTTAGAATGTGTCCTTGGAAATTCAGCTTGTTATCGGTGAGGACACCAAGGAATTTACCATCAACTTTGTTACTAATTTGGATATTGTTTATTCGTAGATTAATTTCATTTGAGGATTTATTATCAAATAAAATATAGAAAGTTTGTCAATGTTAAGGGTAAGTTTGTTAGCATTTAGCCAAAGATGGACTTTATTTAGTTCAGTATTCACAGTGACATTTAGAGCAAGGGGGTCAGGACTGGAGAAAATGAAGGTTGTGTCATCAGCAAATAAGATTGGTTTGAGGTGTTGTGAGGCATTTGGAAGGTCATTAATATAGATGAGAAAGAGGAGAGGGCCAAGTATGCTGCTCTGAGGAACACCATTGTTGATGGGTAGGGTGGGATAAATAGAATTATTCACAGAAACATACTGGAGCCTGTCAGTAAGGTATGATTGAAGGTATTGCAGGGAGTGACCTCTGACTCCATAATGATGTAATTTAAGAAGAAGGTTTTGGTGGTTGACAGTGTCAAAAGCCACTGGTAGGTTCACAAATAAACTCATTTTTATCAAGAGCTGTATGTATCAAGCATACATAGTATGCTTATATGTATCAAGCTACATAGTATGATACAAGATACATAGTATGATACAAGATACATAGTATGATACAAGATACATAGTATGATACAAGATACATAGTATGATACAAGATACATAGTATGATACAAGAAAGTAGATACAAGATACAAGTATGTATCAAGATACATACATAGCTGTATGTATCATCAATTTAATCATAGTTGGTGGTTAATCAATAAGGTTTGGTGGTGGCTTTAATAACCCTCCATAGGGTGATAGGCCGTCAGTCCAACACCAAGTTCAAGACACAAAAAAAAAAACTTGTGAGAAAGTTTGAGGTGGCGTAGCGGGGCCGTGTACCCAGGACTCGGGGGTTCACCCGGGGTTCGAAGCCCCGTTCCTATTAGTTGCCAGCTAGAACCGTATGTGATCGCTCGTCACACGTAACTACCAGGTTATGGTAGCCTGTGCTGGGGACTACCACCTGGCTCTACACCTTTACCTTGCTTGAGGGAGCACCATAACTAGGGTAAGTGCCCAGCAGCGCCAGGGAAGTGCCACAATAGTGCCAGTGCCTGTCCACCAGACTACACTAGGCTGTGGGGCGTTTCAAGGCTATAGTGGCCAATGTTGACATATTTTGTCAGGTTGAAGGGCCATATTCCCTATAATAACACTTTAGTACCACTTTGGTACACTGGATTGAGGTAACTGTGGTGGGAGGGCCAGAACACGGTATTAGCTAATCTATGATTAAGAACCAATTTGATTGGAAAGTTATTGATAGAGGAAATATTGTACAGTAACCTTTTCGTCCTTGTAGGATGTAGACTTAATACTGCCTGCAGGAAGTTATATTCAAGAAGATAAATGCAGAAAAGTATACCAAATAGCAAGTATAGTTGAAACTAAACCTGTCATTATCATTGTAATTTGTAACTTGAAGTTGCAGATATGCAACCCCAGAGAAAGTGAGGTTTACCTTCATAGTTTATTAATTTTATAATTAATGTATATTTGTTAGTGAAGCCTTGCCTGTAGACAGTCATATTTCAGTAAATATCAACACTTCAAACTACCTAACCTTGATCTGTTTTATTCTGTGGGTCTTGACATCTTTGCAGACACGCTACACCCACCTTTATGGTTAAAATCATAATATTATATGCCCCTTTGCTTATATATAGTGTTGTTGTGAATAATCGCATCAATTAACTGTTTATTTTTTTCTGGGCATCATTGGAAAGCATGAAGAAAGTGCGGTGCTTTCTGAGGGTTAATGGAGGATTATTGGATTAATGAACTGTTGTCTAAACAAAATTTTTATTATGCTTTGTATGCAAGTCATTGGTACACACTAAATGAAAGAAGGCCCATGGCATGGGGCATTGTTTTACTGTATTTAGATACATTACAGGACAGGGTAACCTAAATTGTAATAGTAACAGTTTTTAATAAAGTGAGGAAATCACTGTTTTGTAGGTTCACTGTAGCTCTTTATATTTATATCAAGTCATGGGAGCAGTGTTCTGTTTGGATACATAATAACATTGTTATATTCAAATATAACATTACAATACAATGTTTATTAAAAAGAATGTGTTTACAAAGAACTTAGGAGTAATGTATAAATTGTATGGACAGGGTTTACACAATCGATGAAACCACTACTGTATTACGCAAAGCGTTTCTGGCAAAAATATAAAATAGACAAAATTTTGTTTAAAGGTGTGAGGGGGTAAAATATTTAATACTAAAGAAGAAATATAGCGAACAAAATGAGAATGTTCATGGAAAATAACAAATGAATGCAAAAAAGGTGATACTTAAGAATAACAGGCATTGACTATTACAATATGGAGTCGATAGTTTTAGCAATAGTACAGTAGTTTATTTACATTATTAACAATGGAAAAACAAGGTGTAGTTTAGAAAAGCAACTGGACTTTCTCATAACATTTTGTTTGCAACACAACAGAAAAGTTATACAGTATAGTAATTGAAGGTCGATGGGGCCAACACTAAACATGAACCAGGAATGTAAAGGACATGAGTAAACACTTTAACAAAGACATGCAAGAAACTAGATGATGATAAATGCAGAAAGTACATAATACTGTACAGTACCCAGTTTTACCGAATATTACTCCTAATGCTGATTACCTTTGTATTAGGACCAAGCACAATAGATTATGGTGCGAATTCTTGATTTTCCATGCAGTTCTGCAAGCTGCCAACTTATCTTTACTATTAGATTTAAAACTATACCCAAACCTTACTTAGGTTAGCCTAACATAGCCTAATATTGTTGCTTGAATTAGCCCAGAAATCAGATGAGAAGAATGTTGGCAGTCGATGATCACTGCTGGGTGAATACACACACTTAAATTATTTTACTTTGTATCCAAAAGTGCAGTGCTCAATGGGCCTACATACCTTGAAGTGAAGTGCCTTATGGGCCTATGTCAACTATGCCCATAAGCTTTAAGTTTATTATGTGATGCTTCAGTTTATCTTAAAGCATTGCTCTTTGATAGGCCTCACCAAATATTTGCTGATCAGATCTAAACAAACATGAATCCTGTTCCATTCATATAATTCCACCTACATTTCCTATATCCGAATAAGATCAAATATCTGGACTGTATTAACATACATGAGGCCCTGTAGCTCTTTCAAGGATTTAGAGGCCAATTAAAAAAATATCATTCTAATAAAAAGGATAATGGAAAAATTAATGCTGCAGCTATATTTGATATGCTGTATAGTACATGAGATAAAGTTACTGATCTTCGAGTTGACCTCAGTCTATGGACATCTGTGCCAAAAACCCAAGACCACCTGCACCAGTATATAGAAGACCTTTAAAATCCCAGGAATTCATTGAATATACTTTAAAAATATGTTGCAACCTAATAAAAATCTGTTAGAATGATTTAATATAGTGTATAGTAATCTCTCCATGAGTCAGTGCATGGTTCTTAAAAAAATTTTTATTAACAAATTTATGGGGTTATATTTTATTTAATTTGTTCCCTTTTGTTTTCAGGCAGATATATGGTCATTAAAGAATAGAATGACACCTAGGTAGACACCTAGGAAAGTGCATTGTGGATAATAAAGTGTCTAGAAACCAGTACTGACATTTGCCTTATTTCCAGTCTCCTGACACATAACAAGTATCTCCAAATCAATTGAAAATGTCACTGACATGGCAAACACACAATGCTAACTTGCATTTAAATATCAGGCCTTAACTGAGTGGTTTTTAAGGAATGAGTTGCCAAATATTGGTGTAAGGTTTCTAGTCTCCGGACACATGGGAAGAAGCGGTAAAAATATCACCAAACAGTATAAAAACATCACTGAAGAGTGCTGACACACCTTGGTACCATATCTTGTAATATTGGACCTAAAGGCTCAGTGATTCCGAGAAATGAACCATCGGGCATTATGATATCTGGCACATATCTCTGACACTCCTAAATCCAGACAGCCATGTGGCTGAACAGTCGAGAGCCATGTCTGTTATTTTAAGAATGTTGTATACTTTTAAAAGTATGGAAATGGGGGAAGGTATAATTTACTTCATAATGCATATAATTTTGCTGTACAGTACTGTACTGTACTGGCAAAACTCCCTTAGAAATGGGTGGTATGTTTTTCTGCTAGAGCAATTTTGTGATAAAATTAGACACTGCCATTTTTGTTAATGTGAGTACTGCATTGCATATTCAGCTTACATTTCCATACCATTTTTTAGAACAACTTTGCTTTCAATTAATCCTGTTTTTCTTTTTTATAGTCCACTGAGAACATCAGTAACTGTTAAGTGTTCGGAGACAGTGACTTTTAATCTATGCACATAAAACAAAAAATAAATAATCTAAATAAAATGTGTATCCTACAAAGAGTACTATATGAATTATCAAATGCCTTTTGATTTCTTAATTATCATACATAAAATTAAAGACTTCTATTGTATAGTGGAACAAGAGTATTACACAGATCAGTACTTAGTTAATAAAATTATTGTAGTTATGCAACTTGCAATAAAAAATAAAGTAAAATATGCATCCTGTAGCATGAGCATTACATAGCTCCACATTTATTAAATAGAAGCAACTGTGTAAACTGACAATTACTTTTGTCTATACATTTAATATTAAAAAAAATTATTGATTTTCGAATAACAAACTCATGGTCGATATCATGAAATGAAATGCACATAATGCTCTTAATCCATGAAAATGACCTCTCTCATGACCAGTTTGTTACCATGAGGTTAAAAAAAGTTGCAATATTGCTTCTACATTTGGAAAGGTTAACTGAAACTTGGAAGATGGCTTATTACAAGTCCTGGTGGCACTAATGTCCTTTACCTGAATAGTTTTGTTCGATTTATAAATGGAAGTGGATTCTTTCCTCAGCAAGGTTAACATCAACATTTTCACCACAGATTTTACATATTCACACACATGTTCTTCCAAGGCTTATTAATCAGCTAAAGGAGTTTAATGTTTTTTAATATTTCAAAAGCATCCATTTTAACAATTGATTTCATTCAAAACTTGCCTCTTTGAGAATGCCTTCTGTCATCATTAGGTATATTATACAGTAATTAATTATTTTTTTTTTTACTCATGTTTCACATTTTTTGTAGTTTACATCTGGCAGGTTTTTTCTTTCTTTTTTCTTTGAGATCAGTTTCATTAAAAATGTTTTTAGTTTTCTCTTAGGATAAAAGGGGTTGAATGATATGTAAAGCCTTGCACATGTGAAAGGCTAATCTATGGATCTTGTAAAGCCTTGCCAAGTTTGTGGAATTGGCTTTATAAATAAATTGAAAATTTTAACATGAACACAGATTCCAATATCACTATTTTCTCCTTACGAATACCAGCTTCTCTCATTGTGTCATGTTTTTTTTTAATTTATTAGTAGGCTATGGGGTACGATTAAGAATATCGGTAATGAAAATATTATTCTTGGCTATGGGTGAAGTAGCAAGTATAGTACAGCTGTGTGAGTAACCTCTGCTCTTTACACCTATTACATAACCCCAATAACATCTGCCTATGTGAGTGAGTAATTAACATAAGGAATAATCTACCTAATTAAATTATTCTTGTAAAAACTTGTAATATATATATATATATATATATATATATATATATATATATATATATATATATATATATATATATATATATATATATATAAATATATATATATATATAATATAATATAATATAAATATAATATAATATAATATATATAAATATAATATAATATAATATAATATAATATAAATATAATATAATATAATATAATATAATATAATATATAATAATATAATATAATATAATATAATATAAATATAATATAATATAATATAAATATAATATAATATAATATAATCATGTCCCCCCCCCTATCTCTTCTTTCCTCCAGTGTAGTATGATCCAGTTCTGTCTTTCCTAATACTGTAGCTCAATCTCCTCAGCTCAAGAACGAGTCTCGTTCCATATTATTAGGAAATGTACCATTGTATATGCACATAATGGTACGTTTCCTAATAATGATGACCTTTTCTAGTTTATCCTTGTTCTTTTTCAGGATAGGGTTCCATGCTAGGGACACATATACAAGAGTGGGTCTCACCTTTGCTGTATATAGGTCCTGGGAAGTTCCTTTGTTCAAGTTTCTGAAGGATACATGGATATTGGCAAGTATGCCATTTTTTATTTTTTATTTATATATGCCAGAGTTCTTACATTAAGCCACTAGCATGCATAGCATTTCGGGCAGGTCCTTAATCCTAATTCTCCTGAGAATGCGACCCACCAAATCAAACGTTTAACAACCAGATACCCATTCGGGTATCTGGTTGTAAAAACCACACGGCACCTCGGATGCATTTCCGACGGTTCCTTTCATATAAAAGGGGTGACGTCGAGGAAAATAAAACTCGCATCCCTACCAAAACGTATAGCAGCCTCTGGGTAAACAGAGGCTACAGTTAAGGATTGGTGCCCTATCAGACCTCCCCGGCCAGGATACGAACCCAGGCCAAAGCGCTTGTGAAGCACCGGGCGAGTGTTTTACCACTGCGCCGCCACGGAGACAGCTTTTACCACTGCACCACGTGGATATGCAGTGGTTATTCTGCTAATGTGGGCTTCTGGCATCATATTTGGGTTATGTCCACACCTAGGTCTTCCTCCTTTTCTGAGTGAAAAATTAATCTTCCCTTCAACCTGTACTTCTATTCTGGTCTTCACACTCATGTTCCAATCCACAAAACTTTGCATTTGGCTGGGTTAAATTCTAGCAGCCATGTTTCAGACCACTTCTGGAGAGTGTCAAATCCTCTTTTAATGCATCACAATCTAACCCCGACATGACTCTTCTCAATAGTTTTGCATCGTCTGCAAACATTGACATGAAGGACCCAATTTCCTCTGTCAGGTCATTGATATATAAAATGGACTCTTGACAGCATGTACTCTTGACAGGGCAGTGAACAGTATATACTCTTGACAGGGCAGTGAACAGTATGTACTCCTGACAGGGCAATGAACAGTATGTACTCTTGACAGGGCAATGAACAGTATGTATTAGAAACAGGATGGGTCCATGAACCGACCCGTGTGGTACTCCACTTGTAACCTCTCTCGACTCTGATTTCTCTGCTCTCACTGTAACCCTTTGCTTCCTTTCTGAGAGATACTCTCTGACCCACCTTAGGACTCTTCCAGATATGCCAGCCTGCTTTTCCAGTTTGAGTAGGAGTCTTTCATGCGGGACCATATCAAATGCCTTCCGACAGTCGAAGAATATGCAGTTAGTCCCGCTCTTTCTCTATCTTGTTGTAGAACTCCAAGTTTGTCATGCAAGATTTTCCTTCACTAAAACAATTCTGGTGCCTCGAGACAAAATTTATTTCTTCTAAATGTTATACTAGCCTGCTTCAGATCACTCTCTTTAAGCAACTAGCAGGTGATACTTGTTAGTGATATGGGTATGGAATTTAACAGTTTCTGTCTTCCCCCTTTCTTGTAGATTCGTAGCACATTAGCCATTTTCCAGCTTTCAGGAGGTTCTTCCGTTTCTAGGGAAGAATTAAATATTATGGAAAGTGGGCTGCCTTCACCTCTGTCTATTCCTAAATCATAGTACGCTGTCATATAACGCTTTGAAACTACTGACGGTTTTGGCATCCACCACCTTCTCACTTAGCTTGTTCCAACCGCCTAACGCTCACATTGTACTCACCTATTTGTGCTTGCAGGGGTTGAGCTTTGGCAATTTTGGTCCCGCCTCTCAACTGTCAATCAACTGGTGTACAGATTCCTGAGCCTACTGGGCTCTTATCATATCTACATTTTAAACTGTGTATGGAGTCAGCCTCCACCACATCACTACCTAATGCATTCCACCTGTTAACTACACTGACACTGAAAAAGTTCTGTCTAACGTCCGTGGCTCATGTGGGTACTAAGTTTCCACCTGTGTCCCCTTGTTCTCGTACCACCCGTGTTAAACAGTTTATCTTTATCTACCCCTGTCAATTCCTCTGAGAATTTTGTAGGTAGTGATCATTTCTCCCTATATTTTTCTGTCTTCTAGTGTCGTGAGGTGCATTTCTCGCAGCCTTTCCTCTGTGTGTGTGTGTGTGTGTGTGTGTGCATGCTTGCGTGCGTGTGCACGCGCACATGTGTGTATACTCTATATAATATATATGCATAGTTGTAAACATGTTTATCGCCACCACCTGGCCAGAGGGAGCGGGAGAGTTCAGAAAAACTGGATACAATTTGACGAGGAGACTTAATGGGTGGTGGTAGAGGAGAGTGGCTGGTAGTATTGGTCGCACTTGTACCAAGAGCAGCACTCTCCGTATGTGTGTACTACCTCTTGGTGTGCTGGCTGTACGTTCCCAGTGTTGTGTTGAGGCTGATGAGTGAGCAAACTTTGCTTTCTGACGAGCATTGCATTTGTTGAAAAAGATTACCTTGCGTCACTGAGTGATTAGCTGATAACCTTTGCCCTTGTATGTTGTCCGATATGAAGCCTTTCTTTTCATCATGTTCAGAAAGTGTAGGTCAGGTTTAATGCTACAGAGTTAAGTCAGACACGACATGCGAGCAGCTGTGTGGTATTGCTAGGAAAGGCAGGAGAAACCGGTTGTGCCTTGTTGCACCTTTCGTTTTTATTGGTGGCAGTAGTAGTAGAAGCAGTCCTCAGGCAGGATGTGCACCGCCCGTCACCAGGTAGTCCACATACCAACTTACATGCTTTACTAAAGGTAATGCCTAAGTGTATTAACATTCTTTATTGCTGCACTTAAATGCAATTTACCAACTTATAATGGCTGAAGTAGGGGAAAAGTAGAATGTCTTCTTTTTCATTCGAGGATTATATAGACTATATGTTGTAATGTTAAAATGTTTAATATTTATACCACTGGCGAGGCTTAATTATTACAAAATTTTTACTAAAGATAACGTACAAAAGGGCTAGGCTATGGTCTTCAGAACACGTATCAAAATATAATGTACTCACCTAGTTGTGCTTGCGGGGGTTGAGCTCTGGCTCTTTGGTCCCGCCTCTCAACCGTCAATAAACAGGTGTACAGGTTCCTGAGCCTACTGGGCTCTATCATATCTACACTTGAATGTGTACTCGGCGCCGAGATCGCTGGCTAGGGGAGGCTGCCTTGTGCTGTGAGATGCAGTTTTGTTCAACACTTCAACGGGTACAGGAGAAGTCACCGACTTGTTTTGCTTGTTAAGATCTCCCGGCCATAACCGGTTTTAAAGCTTTACCCCCTACGCTACTTATTTGTTCACCAGCCAGTGGTTTGGGAAACATCCGCCTGCGTATGCACATTCGTGCTAAATATTTAGTTAATTATTATACATTAATTGTAGATGTTATCACTAATACATAATTGTTTGAGGTATGGAGATATTAGTCCCAGGGAAGCAGCTGTTATTATTAGTCTTCACAATACACTACTTGCTTCTTAATCTCATATGTCGTTTATCTACTGGAAGAGAAATATGGATACAGTGCAATGATTTCAGATATTTTATCCTTAGTAGTAAGATAGTTTGCTAGTTGGGCACATTTGCTATCACCTAATGCCTCTGTTCACCTAGTCTTAAATCGGTACTCGGGAGTTAGCTTGTTGTGGGGTTGCATCCTGGGAAGGAACAGTAGTTTGGCCCCTGGAGGTAACCTCAATAAAATCAGGTTGCCATGTACACTGGCAACCTGTCCCCCGACACAATGAATTATCATCAGATCAAGAGCATTGTAAATTGTTACGTTGCGTGCGCTACGTTGTGTAAATTGCATGTTCTGTACTATCATCCATCATTAACATGATTGTTTTCAGACTTGAAGCTACGTTCAAGTACACTCTAGTTTTATGTGCAGGCGAGGAGCCACAATAACGTGGCTAAAGTAATTTGACCAGACCACACACTAGAAGGTGAAGGGACGACGACGTTTCAGTCCGTCCTGGACCATTCTCAAGTCAATTGTCACAATCGACTTGAGAATGGTCCAGGACGGACCGAAACGTCGTCGTCCCTTCACCTTCTAGTGTGTGGTCTGGTCAAATAGATTTGTGTGTGTTTCTTACTGACCTTTTGCACCCTCCCTCATGCCTCCCTATATCAGATTTACCCATACCTACTTTCCTTTTGCCCTGCCTCTTCTTCCCTTGTCTAATAACAAAGTATGAGTACTGACTTCACGGCGAGTACTAATGATAGGGTTGGCTGTGTTCCAGGTTAATGTCCTGCGGAGCCGAGAGCGCGTAGTCTTCCTGGAAGCCAGAGGTAAGTAAAGACTTGTAATCCCTTGTCTTGGTTGCTCTTCCTTCTGACGCAGACTTGCTTGTTCATTTCGTAGCCTGTGAATTGGAATTGAAATAAGTTTATTGAGGTAAAATACACACAAAGGGTTGAGGTAGCTCAAGCTATTCTCACGCCGTTCAGTACATGGTGTTAATACAGACATAGACACACATCACAAGCAATAAACGTATTACCGAACATTCTGAGAGATAAACATATACATTTCCTAACCTGTTAATTTGACTCTTCTTAACAAATAAACTTAGTTGATTTGTTCATCGCAATAAACGCAGATTCTCTTCTCATCAGCTTTAACTTAGTGTAGCATATTTGCATGAAGCTGAATGTTAACCTTACTTTAAATTTGTCTGCTCTTCCTTTAAACTTGCCAACTCTTCTCATCACTCTAAACTTGGCAACTCGTCTCGCTTTAAACTATTACTTTTGAAATGAAAATAATCTTGACACATTTATATTCATCTAAAGTACTCTTTTTTAGAATTTCTTAAAGCTCATCTTCCCTCTACTACCGTTTGTGCATTATGGGAACTTGATCACTGCAGTAACCGCTTACTGTGATTGTTGTGAAATCTACAAGTTATTAAGAGCGCGCAAGGGCCAGAGGTGGTTCTCTGACTTGCACCTTAAACCTATGGTCTTAGCTGAACGGTATAATAAAATACTCAACAAGCGATTCACTCAGCACATTTCTTAACGCCAGGTGTGATATTAGAGCTAAATGAACACTTGTATAATCGCCACTGGAAGCTTTACAGAGCAGCAGTCTACAACATTCTCAGCCCATTTATGGGTTAAAATGATAACGATTTCGTACCGTAACACCCCAAAGCTGTAGTCTACGCCAAATATTTATGGAGCAGTATGGAAAACCTGCCGTTCAATTATAACCATCTTGCCTGTAATAATATTAATCGTAATTTTGGCATTGAAATTGTCTGTAGTTGCATACGTCCAGATGATAACTATGACGTAACACGCTTTGGAATAAAATATGCACTCACGAAAGGTAGGGCAACCTTTCTTGGAGCCTTTCTTCAACCTTTTCTTTCTTCAACCTTTCTGGCTGGGCTGCCAGTCCAGACTGCTGGACACAGGGACTCATAATACCCAAATCGAAGCCTCGGATACATTTCCCTGACATCTTGTATTTGCAAAGTTTTTTATATGATTATATATGACAGAATTGTTTCGAATTAGACACTCAACTTAGTCGTAACCTGCGGGTTTTATTTTCTCTGGAGGAGCAGTCAAACTTGCTTCGCTTAGTATTTCATCAGGCAGGGATAGTGTTCTCATATGGTATTTGTTAATTTCCGTAGTGCTTTTAATACAGCAAACAGAACTGATCTTGAAAAAAAACTAGCCTCGTTAGGAGTGAAGGGAAGACTGTTAGCATTGCTCAGGGATGCACCTGAATAACACAACCGTCTCAGTCCTTATCATATTGTTTCAAAGCAATAATTTTGCTCCTTTGAACTAGATACACGACAGAGTGGAGTGCTTATTCTTGCACTTTGCAGTGTTTTGATATGGAAATGAATCTTTATATGCCCCCGATAGCTGATTAAGCTGCCACTGCAAGGCTATTTGCAACAACACAAATGTCAAATTAGACTGCAAGCTCTTATTTGATTCGTTTGCAACTTATTTCTATAGAAAAATCCAGAGCCTTTCATTCCCACAAAATAACAAATGACACATTCTTTAAAAAATAACCACATGGAAACCTGTGGGCAACACAAATTCCTTTGTAAATTACTTGCATCATATGGTCTAAGAAAGACTTAAATCCCTGAAAACATTCACTGATCAGAGTATTGATATCACCGTTAAATATGCTGAATATTTTACATGATGTTTATTAGATGCCTTGTTGATTACTATGCATTGCACATATATAATTTCCCAAGCTCTGAACATATTAAAACTCGATTGCTGGAGACAGGGCTGTAAATGAAAACTCTTGAAATAGGCATTGGTATGTAAATGAAAACTCACGAAATAGGCATTGGTATGTAAATGAAAACTCACGAAATAGGCCATTGGTAAACATTGGCACATGGTGCATAGAGTTTTGATCCTATTAAGCTGCTTAACGCTGGTAGGATAGACAGGCTAGGGGGTACATCGGTACATCCTGAGCGCCTATCATAATGAACGGTCTGAACAGCAGGTGTGTACAGCAGGTGGTCCTCACGGGACTGCCAGGTGTGTGTAGGGTGGCTTGTGGCCTGGTAGTTGGGATTAGGTACAGCAGCAATATCGCTAACAACCAATATATTTGCAACATCAGTAGCAGCGGTAGCTACTATTATTAGGAACAGTAGCAACTACAATAGCAGTAGCATCAACAGGGTCCACAATAGCAATATTAACTGTAACCAGAATATCGGCAGCATCCAGTAATGGTAAGAACAACCACAATAGCAACAATTACCACAACAACCACAATATTACCCTTAATAACTACAGGTCCAAACGCTGGACAAGCAGCTTGGGAGCAATTTATCATAAACAGACTTGAGCTTATTCCCACGGGATGGGTATGGGGTGCATAATAAAGAAAGAAATTTTATTGAATTGCTTATTCAGTAGGACAAAATAGGCTTGGGGGGGCACTCATTGACAGGTTCACCATTACAGTATTGATCGTTACAAGATCGACTTTTTGGAATGTTGTCTTGTGGTATATCGAAATTTATTTTGTAATTTTTTTGTTCGGCTGTCTTGGAATATTTGCTTTGGTTGCCTTACGTCTTTTAATATATTGCATTTTCTGAAGTCATTCAGAAGTAAATTTTTCCAAGCGTGCTTTCAGGGTAGACACAAATTATATTATGTAAATTTAGAATACGTACCTTTCCGTTTTTGACGAATAGGCAACAGCTGTAAGCGTACATAGGCTATATACACGCAAAGGGGACACCATTTGTGGTTTGTTAACGGTACTGTTTCCGCCGCCTCCTCCCTCCATTCCCTTACCTCCCCCCTATCCACCCCCTCTCTCTTCTCTCCTCTTCTCTCCTCTTCTCTCTCTCTTCTCTCTTTCTATCTCTCTTCTCTCTCTCTTCTCTCCTCTTCTCTCCTCTTCTCTCTCTCTTCTCTCTTTCTATCTCTCTTCTCTCTCTCTTCTCTCTCTCTTCTCTCCTCTTCTCTCCTCTTCTCTTCTCTCCTTCCTCTTTCTCCCCCTCCTTTTTCTGTATTTTTGTCCTCTCCTGTGACTGTCTTTCCCCCCCCCCCCTCCGTACCTCCACCTCTCCCGCCAATAAACACCTTAATTCCCAGTGAACAATAAGGTAAACAGAGAAAAGAGGGAGCGCACAAGGGATACAATAATAAGTATAGAGAGTGGTGGGAGCCAGCAGGTCGGCTGAGACACGGGCACCACCCAGGCGACCGGCCGGCCGGCCACACGGAGTGCTGGAATCGCACTCATCATCTCTTCTGCCAGATGGAAGAGTGAGTGCACCGACCTTGCTAATTTAGCGCCATGAATCACTACAAGAGAGAGTATGATAGTGTTGGGGCGGCCGGAGATAGGAGGAGGAGACCATGGTGGGATAGAGAGGGCAGTAAGATATGGGTAAACATGGAGAAATGTGATTACGATGTTTAAAGCATTTGAGGATAGGTTAAGAAAGGTATTGTAAGAGGAAATACCCAAAGAGAAGGATAGGTCTCCAGTGTGTGTGAAGGTGGGAGTTGGAGGGGGGCGGCGTGGGTATAAATTGTGAATGGAGTAAATGTTGCAATTGCAGGCTATTCGTGCAACCTGTCCTCTTATAAAGAACGTCGCTTTTGGCCGTAATTTGAAAATGAAAAAAACATGAAAATAAATTTGGGATTTTTTTTCAACAACAGTAAGTTAAGGGTCCTCTGATAGGTTAGGTGGGCAGGAAATTCTCATAAAGTTTCAAAACGTGAATTGAAAGTCATCTATTCTAACCTTACAGAGTCCTCCGGATGACTCAAACAGAAAACGGAACAGTACGTCACTTTCGTGAGTCGATTTCATTTCAAATTACGTCCAAATTTGGTCATAGCGCCGCGCATACGAGCCAAAAGTGACGTTATTTTTAAGAGGACGGGTTGATTCATGCCCGTGCCACCGTGCCATTCTCACAATTGACTTGATAATGGTCCAGGACGGTCCGAAGCGTCGTCGTCTCCCCATCTTCTAGTGTGTGGTCTGGTCAACACCATCTTGGTGTTAGTTGGATGACAAATTTTGGAGTACCATCAGGAGGAGACACAGCGAGGCTAATATGGCCAGGTCTTGAAAACACGATTCTCCAACTCAACAAGTACACTATGTATAAATGGAGATTAAAGCGGTTTATAGACGTTGGTTTAATACGGCGTGTGTTGAAATTATAGATGCATGGAAAATGAACAAAAGGAATATAGAAACTATATATGGGAAGAGGCAGGGGTAAGTGACCTCACCCTACCGTAAGCGTAAGGCAGGGTAGGGGGGTGGGATAGGTACGCTCCTTTGAGAAAGACGAACTTATAATTAATTGTTGTTGTCGGAGACATGGAGCCTTGTGTTTAGGCTTATCGAGGTCCCCTTAGGTGATTTGGCTGACCTTCCCCAGGGTGTAACACACAACAGTTGTATAACTCCCAGGGACCTATTATTATACTGCTAGGTGAACAGGTGCATCGGGTAAAAGGAAACGTGGCCAATTATTTCTGCTCGTCCGGGGATCACACCCCTGGATTGTGAACCACAATCGTGGATTGTGAGTAGGTGCCGTAGACTACTGTACTAGAGGACCCCAGTAAGAATGAGGAAACTGGACTTACCTGCTTGACAAGACCTGATCTTTACCCAGAATGTGGCTGACATTGAGAGCATAAGGTATGAGATATCTTAAGGTGCCAGTATATCCTCTTGTGAAAATCACAGACAAAAATATATATGACAGGAGACTTGCATAGAACAAAGTTTATAGGAA